AGCCAACCTCATCAATTCACATACACAAACAAACAAACCAAAAAAAAAAGGAAAAAGAATCATTTTGAAACATAGAAAACCTAATATAGATAAGCTTGGGTTTATTTTGCCAGCAAGTACTTGAAGAGAATAATGATTAAAGTGATAGTTCTTTAGGTAGTTTTGGCAGCTTTAAATCTTTTTCGTGCTTATTTGTCACAGAAAGTTTCACCGCAGTAAAAAACAAATGCTTATAAAAATTATACTTTGATTAGTGCATGAGCCTGAGCTTTAAGAGTCTATTGGATATGAGGGAAATAAATTTTTTTTAATAATTCGATTTAAAAAAAAAAATGAAGTGAAAACTTTTTTAATCATTTTTTCTTACTATTCTATTTATTAAAATGGGTAGAAATGGGTGACTAAACTCCCTCCAATTGAAAACAAAAGTGGGAGTAGATGAGGTTAAGAGGGATAGGAAAGGGGAGCATATAGATGCGTTGGGGATCTCGAGAAGATTGTTGATAATGTAAAGTAAGAATCTAATTTCCATTGAATAGAAGATTGCATTCAGAGGATCTATGTCCTACGTAAAATGGAATTTGTCAGAACCAATATTTTTATATGATCTCTCCTCTTTCCCCTAACTGATTTGTGGATTCCCCCCATCATACCAATGGCACATTAGTCTCTAGCACGTTCGTTTTGACTAGCATCTCGACCACGTTCACTTAGTTCATAAATTATGAATATACATAATAATCTGCTTATTTTTCAATGTTGGTTAAAAAAAAAAAGACTTACCTTATTAATTATTTTAAAGCCACCAAGAGCTCAGATAGTAAATTGATAACTCAAAAAATGTATTTTTTTTTGGGTAAATTTAATTATCTACATATATGAACTTTAAAAGAGTGACACAATGATTTGGCTAATGTGAGAGAATTCACATATAATCTTGATCAATACTTAATTATATGTAATATCTTTTTTGGTGTTTTCTTTTCCCAAATAATGTGATATATAAGCAGCCGTGAATATAAAGATTACAGATTGCTTCCTATTTCAACGGTCTAAAGACTAACACACAGCCACATAATTATAAGAAACCATAAACGTTGAATATGGATATTCATAGTTTTTCCTAGAAAAAAATTTAAGTCAAGTTCCCTATATCCATTACATTAACTTCTCCAATCACATATAGCTGTGTGTAATTTATAATTAAATACTATCAAATACTAATATTTTAAAAATAGGAGATATAATTATGTGTGATTAGAGAACTTGACGTAATAAATATAAATAGCTTGATGTAAGTATTGTCCTTCTTTCTAATATCAGTTAATTAATGACTTTAAAAGATTTAAATTCTTTACATTATTGTAAAAATTATCTTTGGGCAAAAGCACCTTTAATTTGTAACACACAAAAGTCGCGCTAATAATATTTGCCCAAAACAAAGAAGCACTGACAACATATTTCTATAATTTTTTTAAAATGCTAATTAAGCCTTCATTAATATAAAATTACAAATTTTTTGCTGTCATTTTCTCTCATCCTGATTCTTCCTATATGTTTGGAATGAGTTTTCTCCTAAAATTACAAGATTTATTCCCCCCTGTAATAAACAATATATTTTAAAAAAATTGTTCATATTAATGTTTTAAAATAGCAGTAATATTTACTTGTATTATTATATAGTACTGGTTTATATTGCCACGAAACATAAATGAGAAAGAAGAGCTTTGAAAGAAACTTTTGAATTTTTTGATATCCTCCTATTGGAGGCAATTCTATTCGAAGCACTGTCAGGTACTAAATGTGGGTACCTCTCCCAACGGGGATTCGAACTTTGATTCACCACGTTGTGAGAGACCAGCTTTTTCCGCTAGAACCAATCCCATTGCTAAAATTAAATTTAATTGATTGCATCCTGATGGAATATATGGGAAGAAAGGTTGACCCAATTATAAAGAAGAAAATTTCCTCCAGTGGCTGTAAAGTTGCGTCGCAAGGCTCCTGACCAGTGAAGAAGATGTTTGATGGATTTACTGCTAAATTACTGTAATGGACCACCTCTAAAGCAATCATCATGCATATTTATATATGTACCGCCAGAAATTTTTCAGATATTTGTGATCGGGGCAGCTTCGTCATTGCATGAATTAATCTTTATTTGGTCCTTCCTTTCAAAATTAAATTTAAAAAAAAAAAAAACTTTGTGGGTCACAAATTAATACGCCTTCATAGTACACCGACCAACCAGCTTGAAGCTTAGAGTGGTCCCTCATGCACCTGATCAATTAGTCTACGTCTTCCCTTTTTTTTTTAACCCCTCCACATTCATTTCAGGTGTGAATGGGGAGTTATAGTCTGCTTGTGGACAATACATATAAAGCCACTGAAAATTGATCTTCAATGATCATTATGTGAGAAAAAGATGGCAAAAGAAAATGAGATCTCTCACTTCATCTTTTGTTGTTGTTGTCACTTTCTTTCCTACAAAATTGTTTTTAAAAAAATCAATATTGAACTAAAAATTTTGGAAATAGAAATATATACATAGCTGTTGTCATAATAGTACATTTGGATATTTTAAATTTCATTTATTATTTATTTATTTTTAGTCAGTTTTAAAAAATAAAATGCTAAAATTAAAATGTATCTATTATATGTAAAATCCAAATTATTTTCTATATTAAATTTGAAATGATTTCATTTTTTCAATTGAAAGGATTAATCGATGTGTTAAGAACATATTTATCTCTCCACAATAATTTAAGTGCACCTTTTATCTAAAGGTACGAAGAAAAGTACAAAATTATAATTAGGATTAATAAGAATTAGTGTTTTTTAATTCAATTTGATTATATTTTTAGTCCACAAATATATTACCAAAAATTCATAAGTTAATATATTGATTCAAACATATATTAAACTAACCATCACAACATAAGTAGTAACAAACAGATTAATGTTTTAGAGAAATGAAGATGACATTAAGTAATTTTTTAGGGGACAAAAATTGTACTACCTTCGATCTTTAATATAAGAGCTAGTTGACTAATTTAAGTAGATTAAAAAAATTAGTTAAGTTAGTTATTGGTAATAAATATATATTGTCTTCCTTAAAATATCTTTGCTAATAATGTGTATTAGCTAGAATTACTATTTGATGAAACATTTAACATGTGCAACTACTACTAAAACTATCTTAGAAAAAATAGATAAATATGAAAGACAAAGTGAATTTGGGTCTTATATTTAAAAATAAATCAAAAGCTAAACTAATTCTTATATTAAGTATTGTTTGGTACGAGAGAAATGTAGGGGAGAAGAAGAGAAGAAAAATTTTAATAAGCTTTATTTAAAAAAATTGGAGAAGTGGGGTTTTGAAATTTTAATAAAGAGAAGAAGTAATATAAAATAGTAATAAAAATTAATTAAAAAGCTTTCAACTCTACTTTTTTAATTTTTTAACTCCCTTTTTTTAATTTTTTAAATCAAGCTTATTAAAATTTTTCTTCTCCTCCCCTCCTCTCATTTTCCCTTATACCAAATGGACCTTAAGCAACAACATATGGTGCTAAAGGAAAAGACTAAATTGTCGTCTTTATAATCATTCAAAAAGATAATAGTCTCGAAAATTTAAGAGGAAAATGACAATTTGACATAATTAATGGAAAAAGAATATATTTTATTTTAAAAGTGTGGCTGTAAAATATGATATTGAAGCTGCTGGTTTTGCACCCTATTCTCGAGCATGCCATCTTTTAAGGAATCATTATTATGAGCATGTGTCTAGATAAGAGGGCATGAATGGGAGTGTTTGATTGAAAACAAGCCACGCATCAGATCTGAATCTAAAAAGCCAGAGCTAAAATGATCAAACAATGACATAAATCTATGGGAAGATCCAAAGGAACTCAGAAAACCCACTTTCTCTCTCAGCTTGCAAGCACAGATACACATCAAATGAAAAGGACTATGTGTAGGTAATCTATGAGATATAGGAACTTCCAAAGAATAAAACAAACTCCCTTAGATTCAAAAACGCTTACAATAGATACTGATAGCAACCCTTCCTTGACGCAAGTCTAAGTCCTTTGGGTAGAATTTTACACCCACCACCACCAGCAGGATGCAATAAGCAATTCGTGGACCTCTTTAAACGCCATGCGTTTAAACACCATGCCTGTGAACCCTTACGCTTGTCTTGGTTTCTTTCTGGTATAAGTGCCTTCCCTTTCATTTTTAGGGCAACCTTTAATGCTCAAAGTTGTGTTCAGTACATTTGATTGCCATCCCTTGTGGGTAAAGTTGTCTTGCCATGTTGTTTACTTTATAATGATGAGAGTTCCATGGGGGGTTTTATAGTTATCTCACCGTAACAAAATCCCATATTATGGTTTAAATATTTGATGACTTGTTACTTTAGCTTTAGGGCAAGTACCTAGAGGCAAGTGGTACAAGAGGATTATGGAAACTAATTAATGAAAAGGAAATGTCCTTATTCTCATCTTAGTTATTTTAATTAATTAATTAATGATTCTGAATACCCAACTAAATCATCAGACCACACTTGCAATACCTGAGAATTAAGCCTTTCTTGTTTTAAAGTCACTAGACCCACACGGTGCTTTTGTTCATATCAGAGAGAGGGAGAGAGAGAGAGGTCCAGAGTGGAATGGCAGAGGAACTGATAGAGAACTTTCAAAGCTCTCTTTTTCTTCCACCATGACTCAACCATATTGCCTCTATATTACAGTCTTGAACTGAAAGTCTTGCAATTTATTTTTTTAGAACCTTTAGTTTTCATCTTCCCAATCTTAAGAGTGTTTGCCTCATACCATTTCTTTTTGTCTCCCTCTGTCGGTACCATGTAGGTCTTTCCCCACTACACCCCCTCCACACACTGATTCTTATTACCTTATTTGTTGCCGTTCTATTATGTCTGCTTATCTACCTCTTTATATGATCTCTCTTTCTCATGACTTTGATTGTATGTTTGCTTGCAGGAGGCCAGAAGAGAACCCGTTAGACCTCAACAATTTGCCAGATGACTACTCTAGGGATGGTAAACAAGTTCTTGAAGACGATTTCTCTGGTAAACCGTAATTCACAATTGATCTAAACGGAATTGAGCATGTGTTGAGATGATTTGTCATAATTTTGTGCTTTTCTCCATGATGTTTCAGTTTCTACCACTGTGCAATTTAATTAGTTCTTATTTTCCAGCTTTAGTTGTTTTTTTCCTTCTATCTGCTCTTCGTCATCTTTTACCTTGTTCTTCCTTCGACTCTCTGTATACAAGTCTCCGAGGGTTTGATCTTACTTCGCACCGTTTTCTTCGTCGTCCAGCCGCTTCTGTAAGAAATATATTTTCCTTAGGGTAAAAAAGGGAGGGATTGAAAAGTCAAAATATTAATTTGTGTACGAGTGTGGAGGGGTATGTTGGAAGTTGCTTTAATTGTGGGGGTGTTTGGTTGGATCAGGTTTCAGTAAAAAGAAAAGCGGCGGGGAGGATGCGAAAGAAGAGTGTGGTAAGGTCTACGAGTGTAGGTTTTGTTCCCTCAAGTTCTGCAAATCTCAGGCTCTTGGAGGTCACATGAACCGCCACCGCCAAGGCTAGTCCCTCCCTCCCTCTCTCTAATCACAGAATGTTGAAACTATACTTTCCGTAACCATTATGATCGTTCCGCTGTGATTTGATGTGTTTGTTGGATTTCACTGCAGAAAGGGAAACCGAGACCCTTAACCATGCTCGTCAACTCGTCTTCCGTAACGATCATTCCATGGCTGCCCAAGGGGCCCCTCACTTAGGGTACACACACACACACACACACTAATTCAATAATTCTCATCTTTTACTATATTGCTGAACCGAAGGTCGTGAATTTTCCTTGCTTTAGGTGCTGCCAACCGGTAGTGGCAGGGAGTTACAACAACATAGGAGATCCAACTATGTCTCTGAGGTTTCCCAGATACTTGTCTGCTGCTTCTTCAACATCGTCTCAAGCTTCTCATTCATACCTGTACGCTTCGTCCTCACGACCGGTCTCATCCTTTCCTTCACACTATCACCAACCACCAGCTGTGAGCGATTACTATGTGGGAACCAGTAGTACTGGGAGCGGCGAGCCTGCTGGCTACGCCTGTATCGGTGCACCGGTGGGCCATGAAGGGTCACTTCACAGCTATGCCTATTCTGCAGCACAGCACCGTCTGGATCCTCCTTCAGCGATCAATCGGTTTCAAGATGGATTTTGATATATGAATTGAAGGAGCTATATCTAGATTCTTTCAGTCATATGGTTATTATCATCAAGGATTAATATTTCAGTGAACTGCTCGTTAGGTTTATCTCTGGGGAGGCTTTTTGTAAACATGATTATTATAAATTTAAGTTTAGATTCAGGTGTATGGTTGGAGTCAAATACGGTAAAAGGTGTGGAATGATAAAGACACCAAATAGAGAGAGAGAGAGATGAGGACAGCTTTTGAGGACATGGACGGACAGCGCCAGCCGGCTTGTTTGGCTGGGAGCTAAAAGAAGAAGAGTGGGCTTTGTATTCAATTAGTGTGTACTATTCACTGCGCCAAAAGGCTAACTAGTGCTGCTACGACAACAAGTTGGATATCAACTAAATGTTTCCCAATCTAAAAAGCATATTTAAACCCAGTTTGCTCACTATATATAGTTATTATATTATGTATGATACAAGAGAAATATGTGTCTTGGGATGGCACTTTGTGATCAGATTGGGATATTATTATGGCTTGTTCAAACGATTTTGGTGATCTCAGGGTGACAACATGCTTCCACAATTACGTACGGCAACACACATATCCTTTTCAATTCTCTCACGGCATTTGAAAGCAAAACCTGCCTACTCAAAACTAAATTTGATCTTAAACATAAACTAAAGATAACTTCCTTTTCTTCTTCTGTTTCTTTCCTTTGTGTTGTGCAGGCTGTTAGGATGTATTTGATAGAGTAAGAAAATATTCGAAAGAATGAAGGACGGTAAATGAAAGATGATGAAATCTCGCTCCGGTCAAAAATTTAAAATCGTAGTTTTGGGTAACGTTGTGTTTAATATGCCATGAAAGATACTATCTTATTTTTATGTTTTTTGTGATATATTTTAGGGTTAATATCATTGGTTTTAGTCCGTAAAATTTAACATTCTTTTGATTCACCTAAAGATTTTTAGTCCTTAGAACAGTGTTTTTAGTCCTGGAAACCTTATTTATTTTAGGGACCAAAATCACTTGTTGTAAATTTTAAGAACCAAAATTAAATGAGATTAGGTATTAATGATGGTACTAACCCTAGATTTTGTTTTAAAGTTTGGCCGATCAAAACAACATATGGCCAAAAATCAGAAGTTCAGGTCATGTAGGGGCTGTTCAAGTTGTAAAAGCGGGTATATGTAAATAGAACTTAAAACTTAAAAGTGTCGACCTTTCTAACGTAGCAAAAAATTAGAAGAGAGAAATAACAAAAACGATTAATATGTTGACGCAGAAAAATATTAAAATATCAATTCACATGGTAAAATTATCATTTATTTTTATATTTATTGTTGTTATGTGTATAATAATAGCTTTAAACTGCTTTAAAATCTTAAACAATAAATTATAACCGCAGAGCATAAAAAATAATTTTGAAAAACATCAATAATAATTTATTTATGCTTATACTATTCTTAAAAGTTCAATTTTTAAAATATCTAATTGTTCTATATATAACCATAAGTTATAATTTGTCAGTTTAAAAATTTTTCTGGACTTGGGGATGGGTTGTTATTGAAATGTGTGAGTTTCCCTTAAAAAGACTGAATAAAGAAGTGGATGTTTTATTAGCACAAAGCCTTGGTATGATCAAGTCCGACAAAAGAACATGAATAAAAGACAGTAAGTGGTCAATTTTCGGGCGATGATGAACGCTGATCCCCAGTAAAAGTACCTTCTTCCATATCAGATGTCATATTCTATCAACAGAGAATCCAATCAAACATTTCCTCCCCAATTCTTCCGTTTCAGAATGCTCCTATCTCATTATTCATTTCCTACTTTCTGAACTTCAACGAATTCAATTACTTCTTCCTGATATTTATCTTCCGGTCAGCTAGCAGAAATTAAAGCTCTTTTATAAATTTTCATCCAATGCAAAAGCAAAACTAAGCCATTTAGATGACTTGGTATTTTGTGATTCACGTTCACACAAACAGATCAATTTGGTATCTCTCTCTCTCCCCTTCCCTGACTTATGAGAATTTAATGCTTCTCGGGATCACAGAGAGGGGGGAGAGAGAGAGAGAACAATGGTGCTGTGTTGCTCTCTGTGACATACATAGTGCCAGCAATTCACTAAAAAAGTTGCATGAAATATTGCATTCTGAACCTTGACCATAAGAAAAAGAGAAAAGTAAAACTCATCATTAGTACTGCAATAGGGCTATTGTTATACACCCTGCAATGACTCTATCACCAACCGATGACTGAGATTTAATATATTTAAATGACGCTGCTAAATTGGATTCTCTGGCGTAACAATGGAAAGTTGATCTATAATTTGCATCATATCGATAACTCAAAGTAGTCTCCGCAACAAGCTGCTGATGAAGAGACAAGTCATCTATTGAGAACAATGAAGACATATATAGGGGTGTAGATTATATATGTTGCTTCTTTAAATTCTAACGACTAGGATAGTAGAAAACACAGCCTATTGCACTCTTTCAAATCATAATGGATTTTACTTTAATATTATGCATGACATATATGCTTGGCTTACTGTTCTTCATGCATATGTAGCAACCTGAAGAAGAGCATATTGTTTGTGGTATAGTTTGCAAATTAAACTCGGCTAGCGCCTATATATATATATATATAGCAGACCAGATCATCTCAGTTTCCTTTTAATGATGACTTAAAATTGTCACATTTTTTGGAACAGTTGGCTCTTCTTGATCAGTTTTTTTCTGCTCACTAATGCTGAATTAACGTGTGATATTTATGTGGTTACATATTATAATTCTTGGCCAAATATGTCAATATTTCGGAAGCCCAATTGTGCCTAGCTAGTCCTGGTGCAGATGGTCTCTGTAATTAAAGTGAATTAATTGACACATGCAAACTGAGAGGAGCAGATAAATATGCCAAAGCAGATGAAGAAGGAAAGGAAGCAGCACTCAAGCATATCTCGATCCATGAAATATATTGATGGTTGAGCCAAAGCACTTTAAGAGGCACTTTAACTTCTGCAAGCATTAATAGTAACCCTCAGTGAAGGAGGCAGCAGAAATTAACTAAACTTTTGCTACCATACAAAAACGCAAAGGTGGACCATGTTAAAACCCTACCCAAAATAGAAAAAAGGGGAAAAACACGAGAGCCCTATCATGGAGTTTCACTGCATGAACACACTCACTTCTTACAAGACACTGTCTTCAGTTGTCGGAACCCTCGATCCAGAAATTTCTACTGAGCTAGCCAGGCAAGCATGCATGAGCTTCGGAGCTCTCATAAATAATTTAAGGTCAATATCCTGCACTCTGGTTGAACTTGAACAGTTCCAGGCTTAGTTGTCTGGTCCAAAGGGTGTACAACGTTGAACAGTGTGGCTAAACTACACTTTTTCGAAGAGTATAGTCTCATTTGAACAGTTATTTGTTGTATGGTATAATTATCTTCTCACGGGTTCTTCTACTTATAAGTCATCTGTCCAGGGCCTCCTGGCCCAGCTTACATGGATGCAACAGTTTCGTATTTAACTCAAGTTATAAGGCTGCTACTTAGGACTCATTTTCAATGGTGTTTAAGTACCAAAAGGAATATTCACCATTGTCATGTATTAGAGTTAAAATAAATGTTTTAGTTAGGAAAATTTACATTACAGCTGGCACTAAATTATGTTTACCTCTTGTTATAAAGACAGGTGTACTCCATTATTGATTAAAAGAAAATAACATTCAGATTTTTCATCAGTTTCTCTCTCATTTTCTCTCGTGTTATCATGATTCATATTTTGTTATATAATTTATAGGATTATTGATTGTTGTCGTCACAAATGAAAAATTTATTAGCTAGAATGAGACGGCTTTTCAGTAAACTACATTATTCCTTAATGATATGATTTTTCTTGGGTAGAAATTTTTTATGTTTAATTAAATTGTACATTCAATAAATTTTGTACATTTCAAGATGTTTGGGATAAAATTACTCAAAATGGTATTTTGCTTTCTTAGGAGATCAAGCAATAGTAGCAATTCAATTTTTCATAGCTAGGTAATTCCATTCCTCAACTTTAAGGCATGCTTAGTTTGTGGAATTATTTGGTGTAGAATTTTTAGCAAGAAGGAGATGGGAATTCGTAGGAAACTTAAAATAAAGTTTTTATTCTTATTTCTATGTGTTTTGGAGCGCAATAAACACACAAATAGGTTACTAGTTAATTTTTAATCGAAACAGGTCACAATATATATTCTGGAGAGAACCAAAAAGCTAAAAACAAATTAAACACTAGTTAACTAACACTCATACTAGCTAGTGATTCTTTTAGAACATACTTCGCTCACATTTCAATTTTCTGAAAGTTATGTGCCAGGCGAAAACCTCTCTTAACTAAAAAAGCATCGATAAACTTGAAGCTAAAGAATACCAAAAAAGACTTTAAACTAAACATAAGATTCAGAAATTAGGAATAGTACTGAAAGTGTGAAATGAATGTTAGAGTGAAATTACCATTTATGCCTACAAAACCTGCTTCCCAAGAGAAAAACAAAAGCTGCATAAGAAAAAGAGGGACAAGGAAGCAGATCAGAACCGACCAATGGAAACAACTCCGCGTTAAAACGAAATTCAAGACAAGACAACGACCATTCATTTGAAACGAAATCAAATATATTGTGGACTTCTTTATTTTCTTTTGGTTTGTGTAGAGACTAGAGATGATCACGCGTTAGACAGAGAAAAGAAATAATATCATCAATCCTTCTTCCCCCCTTCCCCCTCCCTCTCCCTCTTATGGATACTTATCATCCCCACCAAATTTTCTTTATTGGTCTTGTTCACTTCTGTTCTGTCCTTCCCACTTCTTTCTGCTAACCCTACGTTATATCTTTGTCACACTCACACACAAGCACAAAAACTCTCTCTCTCTCTCTCTCTCTCAAAATACATATATATTATATATCTGATCACGGTGAATAATAAATGTACGACTAGAGAGGCTCTCACGCAGAACTGTTTTCTGAAGTTTCATGCATAGGTACTGTTTCTTGTGAGTGTTTGCATGAGAGAGGAGGGTCTTTGAGAAGCGTGATTATGAGACGTGAATAATAGAAAGCCCAGTATTATTAATGAGTGTCTGAGAAAAATCTCTGCATGTAAATTCTATTGTATCATGGATGGGGATGTGTAATATACTAATAAATAGAGCTAGGATGGAAAAGGAGGTAGGGCAATGTATAGGGGCTCTTGTGAGAGACGTAGGTAGGGGCCTTAGGGTTCAGCTTAAGCCTCTCAGGCTTTTTCTTTCCCTTTAGCTTGTGTGGTCACTAGGGTTTTAGAGTGTCTGGAGTGTCCCGCAACGCCAACAAGAATGTTTGGTTCCTCTGACTTCATTTGTGTCTTGTGTCTCTCTCTGCTCTCTCACACATGAACCTCCCACCTGCTGCTCTTTTGGTTCTCTTATAACCAATCATGCCGCCTTCTCTGCTTCTGCTTTTTCCATACTATGTCTTTCTTCTTGTTTATTTTCAAGCTTTTTTTTTGGATGAAACAAGAATATTTGGATCTCTTCCAATAAATTTTAGTAATAAAAGAACAAAGAAAAAGTCTTTTTTTCTTTTAACTGTTGTCCTTCTAGAGAAGATATCATTAATTCTAACGAAATCGGTTCGTCCTTCTTGGATTGACAAGTTTGAAATGGATTGTTCTGTATATTATGAGGTAAAAAAAAAAAAAAAATTGAACTCTCACAATCATCCTTGTTGAGGTTGATTTTATATGTGTGTGTGTATATATTGAGCATTTCTTAACAAGTTTATGACAAAATAGTCATCTTTCGTGTAACAAAAATGACAAAATAAATAGTCATAATTAATTGTTCATGTCACCACAAAAAAAGTGACGCGCTATGCTGTTATATGGTCCTCCAATGGGATTGCATGAGTCCCCGATAATAGGATTGCATCCACGGAATAAATAATGTTTATGATATACTCCCTTCCATCCTAATTATAGATTATAGAAGCTAGCTAAAAGTTTTATTTTGATTTAAAATATAAGATTTTAATTTATTTGGTCTCTCAAATTTATAATTTTTTCTCAAACTAATCATATTGATTATACATATTAATAGAGTTTCGTTCTAGGAATAATGATTCTATTAAAACTAATAATTTCCTAACTTAGCCCCATGATTATTATAAAATGAGTGGGATGGGATTATAATTGATTAAGTAAATAGTAAAAAGCAAAGGTTCATCTAATTAATGAGGATGTGATCATTATTGCATGATGTAGGGAAAGGTGTCCTTCTCGTAGGATAGGCTTTAAGGTTTGATTGGACTCACTCAATTAGTGAAGGCTAAGCCGACCGTTGCTGCCCGGCCTATATTCTCATGGCTTTGTTATTAGGTTTTGTTCTTAATACATCTTTTGGGCTGCTAGATTAGACAATTCAGCCAACCTAGGAGCTACATACTCCACCCCTAGGGAATGAAAGGGCAAAAAAGTTAATTCATTGATTAGTTTAATTTTTTCCATCCTTTTCCCTAATCATTATCAAACTTTATGATCGATAATTTGTTGTTAAAAATTTATAATTATTTTCTTCCATATTTTTCTAGCTATATATGATTTTGTCTTTTGACGATCTAGTTTCAAGAATTTTTCTATTTAAAATTCATTTTGCTGGTACATAGTAGTATTTCTCTAAAATATAAATGAATGATGAATGATGATGTCGCTGTGGATTTTATTTTTCTTCTAAAATTTCCTTCAGCCACGACCTAAAGTTACTTGCATCCACATTCTTGTGAAAATATTATAATTTTTATTTCACTTAAATTATATGATGAATATGAAGTTTTACAAATTTTAGTTTCTCTTATTCATGTTACTTTTATATTCAGAATTTCAGATAATCAAGCAGTCAGGCGAGTAAATATCTTGGAGGCTTCGTTTTATTTACCAAAAAAAAAAATTCCTGGACTCGGCCGGCGACAAAAGTAATTCAAGACGGACGATTAGTAATATTAGTATACTTATATATACAATAAAGTGTTATGAAAAATATGACTACTTCTCAGACTTTATGTGATGCAAGATAAAACAATCTAGTAATTTTTCAGACTTGTCAGGCAAATAAAAAAAAATTTCAGACTTGATCAATTCCTGTGTTGCGTTTAAATTCTAATTATAACGGAATATATATATATTTGAATTTCAGCGGTATGCTGCGATTAAATTCATGTTAAACTGTGTTACGATTGAATTTCAATGGTGAAGTGATGTACTAATTAATGCTTAACTGTGTTACGATTGAATTTCATTGGTGAAGGATATACTAATTAATGCTTATTCTAGACTTCATCGTACGTTTAGCAATTTTTCTACTTAATTTAATTAATTTCCGTTCCTTCTAATCTTTGAACAATTAAATAGCAAGCACGAAGGACACTTATAAAGGCTTGGACGATGCACATTTGCACCGCAATTGCCAGAAAAAATGCGAAAAGTTTTGGTGCCATTCACTCTATTATAAATTACGTGTGAAAAAGGTTGATTATTGATAAAGGTTCTTATAATATTAACAAGGATGTGATTTTTACTCCACGAGAGTGTGGATTCAAATATCGTCGATGATGTAGATGAACTTTTCAACTAAGAAAGAATGAAGAGTGATAAAATTCTTATCAATAATGGACAAATGAGACAACAAACCCATTAAAGGTAAGCAACAAACACCACTTGGGGATTTAAGAGAGGACCAATGTTATCAACAAAGAAAAAACACTTGTAAAGCTTCACTATGCTTTTCTTGTGTTTAATATAGAGCATATATATTTCAATTAGAGATAGAATCAATTTTTGCAATTCTCTCTATATTTTTCCCCTTCGCATAGGTGCATCTAAATTAAGCATTATATCTAATTAAATGAACTTCATCATAAGAATAACTTGTACTTATCCATTATCTCAATTTCCCTTTTTTTTAAAACAAAAAATTTAGTTAAGTTGGGTATCAAAACTTCGTTAAAATATTTTTAAAATTGTTTATAAAAATATTTACAGATTGCTAAATGCAGCAATCTTATTCGTCGGCTGTTTTTCTTCTATTATTCTAATTTTGGTCTAATTGATAAATTTTTGCAATTAACTTATTTATTTATCCATTCAACAGCAATTAATTTACGAAGAAATATCACCATTGAAGATAAAAAAGATAGTAAAAGGATTGTCACTTTGGCTGATAGCGTTCTCATTTTGACAAACGTCCAATTTAGATGACAAAAACCGTTTTAAGATGCTGCCCCTAATTAATTACGAAGTCAAATGTATTGAAACAAATCAATTTATGGAAAAAACTACAAGTGAAGATAGCCATCGAATAATTTTTTATAGCTATCCTGATAAATATTAGATATATTTCCGAAATGTTTGGAATAAAGTTAGAGAGAGATATCTAACTTTTACTCTGTAATTATTAATTACACAGAATGTACACTAATTACTAGAAGTTGATTAGCTGCCTTATCACTTCCTCGATACTTGTGCCCTTCCAAAGACTACTTTCCACAAACAAGCAATGATATAGATTTTGTTTTTGTAGCTATAGTGTGTTCCTATTCCCGCATGAAATGAAAATTAATTTGTCAGAAAATTTTCTCCTCTATTTCCATAAACTGAAATGGATCTTACATTTCTAAGGACTAAGAAGACATGAAAAAGGGTTGGTTGTACAGCAATCTGAACCTACCAAGACAGTGATAAAATATATTCTTCCTCTCTTCCTTTGGTCCCTTTCTCCCAAGAAATTGACTGGAATTTAACGAATTATCTGAAAATCAGGAAAGACCATAATATTATTTTTTAGGGAAAAAAACATTTTAATTAGACTGTTTCTCGACCAGAAGCTAACTTAGAACCAACAATTTTCAATTTAAATTTGCTCCTGAAGGAAGTTATTATCATATAGAGGAAAGGATTAAGCCTGATGATGAAAGAAAGTTTACTGTAGTGATTATGACATAGCTTCTGGAGCCATATGAAGATGTTCGATGGATTTAATTACTGCTTATTCTTGTGATATGGACCACCTCAAAAAGTAATCATGCATACCTACACACTTCAAAGAAAATTTCAGATATAGTCTTTGCATGAAACTTTTTGGCTCTTCCTTTGAAAGTTAAACGTGTCACAAATTAATTAATCCTTCATAGTACCAACCAACCAGCTTCAAGTATATAGAGTGGTCCATGAATATCACCTGATTTTAATGCTTACCTCTCTTTAATTAGGCTTTGTCTCCCTCTCTCTCCCACGTTCATATCTTGTTTCAGGTGTTGTGGATGAGTCGGCTAGTCAACGAGATGGCCCCTTAAATCTCACTTTCAAGAGTTAATGTTTTTGACATTCTCAGATATTTCTGCTCCAACTTAATCAAGTTAACAAGCTGATGAAATAGAGCTTTTTGCAAAGGAAAAAAAAAATGTATGCAAGAAATAATTAACATGTGACTTTTTATTTTCCAATTACTGGACTTATCCTGTATCTCAGATCGGTTTTCCGTCCTACTGAAGGAATCATTATTTGAATCCAAAAATCATATATCAGTAGGCAGTATACAAAAAGCCAGAGGAAAAATTAAAGAATATGATAAAAATTTAAGAAAAAGCCAAGGCCACCCTCTCAACTTGTATGCTCATCAAATGAAAAGGACTATGTATATGTAATCTATAAGATATAGGAACTTCCAAACAATAAAACAACATGCCTTAGATTCAAAACCCTAATAATAGATTCTGATAGCAACCCTTCTTTATGCAAGTCAAGTCCCCTAGATAGACACATAGCTAGATTTCTTAACACCCAGCAGGAGGCATTGAAACAATTGTGGACCATACCATACACCCATATGACCAGATATATCATTAACTACGCAAAATGTGTGTGTTCCAACTATGCTTGTCCTTGTATCTTTCTGGTATAAACTTTGCCATCTTTCACTCTTAGGGAAACCTTTAATGCTCAAAGATATCTTCAGTACATTTGATTGCTTTCCCTTGTGGGTAAAGTTATTTAGCCATTGATTTATCACCTTTTTAATGTATATATGCATTTGTTTATTGTATTAGTTGAATATTTTTTCCCACTTGCTGCTATACTAGTCCTAGGGCAAAGGACCTAGAGCCTGATGAAAGTGGTAGAGGGGGATTAGTAATACTAATTAATATAAAGGTAACGTTGTCCTTCTCATTTATATCTTCCCCTCTCGATCTGAGCCTTTAATTTCAAGTCTCAACTAAACCAGACCACACTAGGGAATACCCAATTAAGTCACTTCTCGCACTCACCACACCCTATCTTTTTATATCTGTATACAGTCAGGAGACCCACTGTCAACTTCTTTTTGTTATTACAGTCAGGTATATCTCTAGGTTTTCTCTAAGCTAGTTTTTCTTGACTATATCTTAAAAGGTGCACTCACTTAATACATTAATTTAATACATTTGGAATTTTACAAGTATAGTAAAATTGAACCCAGTTGTCAAGAGAGACATCGTTTTACCAACTCAGCTAAATTAAATGTCCGTTTGCTCATTCTATTACATGTGTTTGTGTGGGGTGAGGGAAAGAGAAAGAAGAGGCGTGGCAGAGGAACTGATAGAGAACTTTCAAAGCTCTTTTTCTTCCACCATCACTCAACTGGCCTATATATTGCAGTCTCAAACTGAAAGTCTTACAAGTTCATAAAAAAGCTTTAGGGTTATATGTGTATTCCCCCATCTTAAAGAGTGCTTGCTGCCTCCTACATTTTCTCATCTGTCTCCCTCTCTGCCGGTACCATGTAGGTCTTCCCCCACTACACACACCGTCATATCACAGACCAACTTCTTTTTAGTTTATCTTCTCCTCTTTTTCTGCTCTTGTAAATCTTTTCACGCTCCAATAACGTTTCAGCTTTGTTTGTTTAACTGATGCTTCGCAGGAGACCAGAAGAAAACCCCCTAGACCTCAACAATTTGCCTGATGACTACCATAGAGATGGCAAACAAGTCCTCGAAGATATCTCCTCTTCTGGTAAAGTTTTCTGTTGGTGATATCGTATCCGACTTCATGAAGAATAAAAACATCTCACTTATTTCACTTTCCAAATCCAACCTTGACATGTTTCTTTTCACTATATATCACAATCCATACGATATGTTCGTAGACTTGAAGAATAAAATCGCCATGTAATAGAGTGCAATACTGTCATTTTTTTGTTCTCTTGTTCCTTCTCTTCTTCTATCCCTTCTTTGCTAACTACTATTTCAATGCAAAGGAAAAACACGTTTTAAAAGTTAAAAGTACTTCTTTAAATTGTAGCGTGAGAGTTTATTGTCCATGATTTGCGTAATAAGGAGTAGGTTTTGAAGGGAAAGAAGGCCGTGATGGGAGTTTGCTTTACTTGGGTTGGTGTTTGGTTGGAGCAGGTTGCAGGAAAAAGAAAAGCGGCGGGAGGGATGGAAAAGAAGAGTGCGGTAAGGTCTATGAGTGTAGGTTTTGTTCCCTCAAGTTCTGCAAATCTCAGGCTCTTGGAGGTCACATGAACCGTCATCGCCAAGGCTAGTCTCTTTCTCTTTCTCTTTCTCTCTCTTCTTTCTTTGAGAACCTGAGTAGGTAATGTTATAGCTGCTAGACACACACACGTCTTTGAGTTTGTGTGGCCCAAAAACTGATGAGGCACTAGTTGTTAATCGTCTGGGCTTTGAAGCGTAGTCATTTCAAGCACAGAAAGTTGGGGACTGCCGAAATTGCTTTGGTTTTGGTTTATGCAAGTTTGATTGATTTGACTTGATTTGATTTGATGTGAGTGTGTATGTAAGTGCCTGTTGGATTCGGCTTGCAGAAAGGGAAACCGAGACGTTGAACCATGCTCGTCAGCTCGTCTTCCGTAGCGATCACACCATAGCCGCCCAAGGGGCCCCTCACTTGGGGTATATAGATTCCCTTCTTAATTTGTCCTTTTTTTTCATTTTTCTTTTCCAAACTTCTCTTAGATTCTTCTTATCTTTCAGGGTTAACCAAATTTCAGAGATAAAAGTGTTTTGTTTCTGGTATATTTAGGTGCTGCCAACCAGTTGTCACAGGAAGCTATGGAGGCAGCAACATGGGAGATCCAACAATGCCTCTGAGATTTCCGAGGTACTTGTCGGGTTCATCCTCGACCCACATATCTCCGCCGCCGCCGCCGCCGCCACCGCCACCGCAGCCGTACATGTACGCGTCTCCGTCACGACCAGTATCATCATATCCCTCACACTATAACTCGACCCAAGTGAATGACTACTATGTGGGTCGCGTTCTGCACAACTATGTGGGCGAGTCATCAAACTACACCTGTATCGGTGCGCCAGTGGGTCAAGGGTTCGTTGGCAAGGACGGGACACTGCAGAATCAGGAAGAGTGCTTGAATTGGGGAAGGAGCTATTCAGCGATCAATCGGTTTCAAGATGGGCTCTAAAGACAGAAAGAGAGTGGTTTGAAATGAATCAAAAGGAACAAGGGCTAAGTTTTAAATTAAGTATCATAAAGACACGGCATCCAGGAAGGGGAGAGAGAGACATAACAAGACAGAGATGGGGTCATATGAGGATGAAGGAGTTTTTGGGTTTATTATTAGGGTACAGTAAGTGTAGGACAGCTTTTGAGCTCATGGACAGGGTCAGCTAGTTTGGCTTGGTGCTGTGTGGGTCTGTGTGTGTGTTTGTAATTGGGTGTGTTTTGTAGTTGTACTGGAAAAAGTGGAGGAGACTAGACCTGGTGGGACAACAAGTTAGATATGAACTGAAAGTTTCCAAACCTCCCTTTTTGTTATTTCAGATCCTTTTGCATGCCAACAACAACCAAAAATACTTCACTCTTGTTATTAATCTTTATCTGATCGTGAATCTTTATCTCATCTTTGGTTCCTCCAAATGTTTATCATCCCATTATTGTCAACCAAGCTTGAAATTAAAGCTTTCTTAATATAGCTAAACGATTGCAGATGTGATTCTCATTTGATCTTTTGGAAGCAACTTCTTTTCAAATGCTTCTTCACTCAATCGGTCCTTTTAGTCCTAAAACTAACTTGGCGAATCCAAGTCTGTCATTGCCAGACCTCAGGGATTATTGTTCTTATTTGATTGTTAAACTGATAAAATCTGGTAAAAAGTAAAACTGATGAAATGGTGGTCATGCTGGGATTCATAATAAGAACGAAGAAGACCAGCCAAAATTAAAAATAATGGGACTTTATGGTTTCCAGGTTCATCAAAATTTCAACAATTCTTCTAAATAACTCTTTAGCATGGCCACCTTATATTAACAGTTATTTTTGTTAATCGGGTCGTGTTATAGCAGGTCAGATAAATGAAGTCAGCTTATTAACACTAGAGGGACTGACATGACAAAAAAAGGTGGGGAACTTGATTATACTCAAATTTCATTTCATTTTATAATAACTTTGGGGGGGAGGAATGTGTAATTTTCTCTGACCTGTAGACTGTCAAACATGTAATCTTTTTTAAGAAAGCGTTCTGATCTCTTCCTTTTCACCTAATGATGTAATCATCAAGTATATTAATTCTTTTTTTAAAAAAAAAATAGAAGATGCTTTGCTTGTAGCAGTGAGTGAACACTACAGCAACTCAGTTTCGTTTAATGGCACATACGGAAAAATAGAAAGTCAAAGAATACCACTATACCAGGGGGAAAGAATAAACTCAGTCAGTCTGCTCAAGAAGCAATGAAAACACAGTCGTTTAATTGCTGGCGCATGTTTATTCTTGCGGGAAAACAACTCAAGAAACACCTTTATAGTATGTGGAAAATCGGGCTACATCTTTAAGAAACATATATAAAGAGCCAGTTTAAAAGGCACCAACAATCACAATTTATCTCTTTGATTTTGAGAAACATTCCGATTTCTAAGCTCACTACTTAATTGCTAATACTCATCTAGTCCTATTCAAAGGACAGAAAAAAAGATTTTTTTTGTCCTATTTATAAGGCATTTAGAAAAAAAATTTATATGGATGTGTAATTTTATCCTTAATTTATTATTTTGTTAACCTTGTTTATAAAAGGAATAATGTATATTAAATAGGGATAAAGTTGAAAAGTTATTAAATTTTAAATAAGAGTTAATGAAGTGTAAGATTTTTCTTGGTTTATGTGAAACATGTTAGAAGTGAATAATAAATATGACCAGAAAAGTATGTGTTATGATATCTATATTTAGTTTCAGTATTGTTCTTATATATTTCAAATAGGTACAACATTTTAAACATGAAATACATCACTATAAAGACTGAGAAGATGTGCACGTAAATCTAAGACTGAATTATATTTCTGTTGAAAATTAAAAGAAATTTTTTAAATTATTCAAGCATACAAATACCTTCCCTTTGATTTCAAGTTCTTAGAAGAATTTGAAATTTGTGGGGACCAATCTATAATTCTAAGTACTAATAGTAGTGATTAAGTTCAGGTCAAGAGACGGGAAATTATTCCCTTGGATGCTTCTTCAAATGGAATCGATATCCTTTGTCATGAAACTCTGGCTCTTCACAATGTCGGTTTTTATTTGAAATAATCTGAGGTCTGATGAAGTCTTGGTTCCATGAGTTGTTGTTGTTTTTTTTTTTTTTTTTTTATAGCGTGGGAATGAGAAGAGCTTAAAGTAGTTGTATTGACGTTTCATATTGGGATTCACTTCTCTTATGGTTTATGAATTGCTACCCTAGAGGGTCAAACCCCTCCCTATAAAAGTTGTATTTAGTTCCTTCAGTGGATGAGAGAAGACTTCTTTATGTATTAAGTAAAAGAAACACCGGTTAAATAGGAGACACCAAAAAGAAAAGTTGAATCCTTCCTAATTTCAATGAAAAGTAGACCGGTTTGAGCAAATTAACTGCACTATCAGTTGTGTATGAATAACAAGAAGCAACAAGCTAGTTTTCCAACTTCCTTTTCATTCACAGTTCTTACAGTTCAATTGTTTTGGGGGAAAAAGACTTCATTTTGGGTGTTAAGAAAGGTTTGATTCAAATGAAGTCTCTGAAGAACAAATTAAGAACTTTAGTTTATTTAATCAGGCTGGCACCAAGAGACAAATACGCATTGTTTGAGTCTGGTTTTGAAACCTTTGTTTTTGCTGTATCATTAACGCCTAATTACATTTCGAATATGACCAGGAAGTTGTGGTCTAATCCCAGAAAAATTGGGAATGCTTTTGTTTTGCGTGAGCAACTTAAACTCTGGTTTCATGTCACGAAAGGCAAAAATTTTATGGATGATGATGGATGATCAGTACAAATGTTGAGGTCAGTTCTACAGAAGTGAAAGCAAGTGATTAACTCTCATATATATAAATATATATATATAGTGTCCTTTAAAGCATCGGTCTAACCTGTATACCATAGGGTTTCTCTTTTATAAATATATCAAAACCCAGGAAAGGCACCTGCATTAGACCAGCATAAAAAACAATGACCCACAAATGGTTTAGTTACTCTCTCTATCTCTAGGCATCTTATAGCCAGTCTGAAGTACTCTTGATTCTTTAATGTCTCTCTCGGGATCAGGAAGATGAGAGAGAGAGAGAGAGAGGGAGAGGTTGTGAGTAATAGATCTTTGTGAAGCATAGGGCCAGAACTACACTAAAAAAGTGGCATGTTAGACTGTTGCATATGCTGAGCAAGAATAAGAAAGAGAGTATAGCAGCCTCATATGTCACAACGGATAAAGAATAATGACCCTGTATTCAACACCCCCTTACATAAGTGAGAGAACGTTTAAAGCTGCTAATTAATAGCTTTTTGTATGTACAGTGCTTTTTGTAATTCAATATCTCCTCCCTTTTTTTTTTATAAAGAAATAGTACCAATTCCCTATATATATATATATATATATACTATCTCCGCTTCTAAATATAAAAACTAGTTGACTAATTTGAGTAAATTAAGAAAACAAGTTAAGTTAGTTATTTATAATAAATAGGTGTTGTCTTTCCTAAAATATCCTTACTAATCAAATTTATGGATTAAAACTACTATTATTAGAAGGAGTATCTTGGAAAAAAATGAATAAACATAAGAGATAAAGTGGATTAGGGTCTTATATTAAGATCAAAATAAAAGTCAAATGAGGTCTTGTATTAAGGACTGGAGGTAATATTTCACTTCTTACCTATGGCTGTATCTATCTATCAGGATATGATTTGAAAAAACACTATTTTGGTCTTTCAGAAAATGACCGGCATCAATATCAACTTCCCCAAACAAATTCCAGGATCACTTTATTGCTCAAAATATTTTAGCATGTTTAAACAGTATTTGTGCACTAATTAGCTTAGTTTTCCTTTCACAGTAGTTTTCCCAGTCTGAATCTCCATATGCCCTAGTCGCTGCGCCCTAAATCATGCATCTATTTATTTTCATTCATTGCCAAAGGCTTTCTTCATCTTTACCAAGTCATCATAAATTGACTGATAAAGAAACCAAATCTCCTATATTCAAGTTTATTCATTTATGCCATGACCTTATTATTTTATGTAGCTCGAGCTAGCTTGCACCTTACTCCCAATCTGGCCGTTATATGTATAATGAATCGAGGGCTGTGCATGTAAGAGGACAGAGTACTGTTTAATGGATTTGATGAACATATTTTGTTGTTATGCTTATGTTGCAACGTTGGTGGACGAGAATATTATCTCCGTATACTTTCCGCCAACTGGGTTGGCTGATCAGAGATTATCTTAAATTTTCCTTTCTTCGTTTATAAAATATATAGAGAGTCAGATTATTGTTAGGCGACAGCAGCTTTTCAAACTAACTGATTGAAAGAATCCTGTTAGTATATTGACACAGCTTTTGCTGAATCTTTGCTTGGAGGTATTGAGAAATGCATCATCCTTATTTAGGCCATAAGATTGTTGTGATGAAAATCATAGTGGAGAATATATATATATATATATATATTCATAATGCAAATTTTTAACACTGTAATTTAAGAAAATTTCAAAGTCAATCTTCCTTGGCTTCAAGAATTAATTCGAAGGTTAATAAGTGAATCCTACGTCCCTTTTCCAATATTATAATTAATTAAGGTATGAAGATGCCAATGAGTGAGTAACTTTAATTTATCTTATGTCCCTTTTCCTATTTCTTAATTTGAAGGTTTGGAGTTTGGACCAATGATGAAATCCCAACGTCACATAGACTCATGCGGTGCTGAAGGGGGAATGATTCGTCTTGGAAACAACTTAATTATTCAAGTGCAAATTTTATATCCATGTCAGAATCTCCTTGAAGTTTATTTTACTTCAAGTTTGAAGAGATGGGAAGAGAGAAAATATCTCTATAATTGAATTTTCAACAATAATTAAATCCTAAACATCCATGTACAAGTATAGGAAAAATTGAGGAGTATGATCCATTCAGAAATTTTATTTGAAAAGAAGACCTATAGAATTCTCCG